ATATGCATATAAACAGCCTTTTAATTAACAGAGTAGAATAATCATGGCTTCCACCTTCTATTGGTGGCTTGTTAAAACCACTAAATCCTAATGGAAAATGTCTCAAAACACACCACAGGAAACCATTTTTTAAATGGTTTTAATGGTTAAAAGCTGATGGTTTGTTATGTTTGTAATGGTATTTGTAGTGGAAACCATTAGCATTTCTATGATGGTTTGTATTGTTTTCTCAGCAGAGAGGATAGTTTGCGATTTGGGCTTAGTGACTTAGGAGTCCTCTTCACTATTTCTAACATTTCACAGATTTAGGAGCTAGTTTCAGCGCTAAAACGCTTTGTGAAATACTCTTATAGCAAAAATTTAGGAGTCCTACATTTAGGATTGACACGCCCATTATTTTTAAGATTTTCTCCAAAATCGGCAAGTTATGAGCTACTTTTAGCCTTAAGATGTTTTGTGAATACAGGCCCCAGATCTGTTAAAAATGATTGCTAATAATGTAATGAACATTGTGAGCTGAAGACAGTTTCTAAAACCTTTGCCCTGAAGCTGACCGAGTGCAAGCAGTTTCTTACTCTGTATATCCATGATGTTGGAGTCAGCACCGTTCTCCAGCACATCTCCCTCTGGGCTGGACGAATCCTCCATACCATTCTTCTGTTTCTTCTGCTCAAGCTGCCCTTTCAATCTCTTAACCTGAATAGAAAAAAACAGAAAATCATGCTTGTACATGGCACACAATGAGGAGAAAGTCAATGTAAAGCACTGTAACTGCCAGCAGCGCACCTGCTCTATTAAGTTTTCCCTCTCATCAACCAGTTTTCGCAAGCGAATTTCTGAAAAGCAAGTTCAACAGATAGACCCATTAGACAACAACCAACATTTTTTTTCTTGCAGGTTTTTTTTTTTGGAAAAACAACTGTATATCCACTTCAATAAAATAACCACTTTTGGGACATTCATACATTTTAACAACAACAGTTAAACATCTAAAAAATGTCTTTTGCAATAATAAAATATTACATTCTCATGTTAAAACAAATTCCAAGGTTAGACAGGAAAGATTTCACATACCAGGGGTGGGAGGAGCCAAAGGCATGGAGGGGGAGGAGTCAGGGCATGCAAAAAGTGAGGCTATCCTATGCTGGGATGTGAAGGATGAGGATGGACAACATGCAGAAACTTCAGTGACCTCTGAGGCTTCAGCCTCATCTAGTCAAAATCTCAGCATTCGCTCAATCTGTACATCTATTACATGACAGTGTTTTTCATGTGAGCTTACTTGAGGTTTGTGATGCAATGAATGTGACATACTATAATTCATGTCCTAAAAAATAAAACTTTCATGACTTAAAAATAAGTCAATCTTATCTGAAGCAGTTTAATTAAATGTCCTCTATCATTATACAAAAAAAACTTACACAATCAATAAACAATAGTGTAAAACATATATTTTTAATTGCTTAAGTTTTATTTTAAAATACATGGTTCACTTAACAAACACTATGTGTCAATACCATCTTCACCAAACAGAATAAAATATTTCATTTTTTTTTCTCCCAATCGTATCTCCCAACAAATAAATTGTAAAAACAAAACGTAACTTCAAAGCTCCAGTCAAATTTTTAGAGGAATGTTTAATAAGGTTGGCACACAATAACATTTTTTATTTACCACAATTTTAAACAACATGACACCCATTTAAACAAAATACATTACAGGTCCTTTGTTACCGAAAACATTGTAATTAAGAAGCTGCTAAACATGACTGCAGCACAGACAGAAAGCTGATCATTTGTATTATTCATATAGTATGAGAAACATTTTATTCATGCTCATGTAAAATTTCATAATAAATATGACACTTTATACCCATTACTGATAGCATTTAATGTGTAATTGGTTTTGGGATTTTAAATACTGTTTGAACTAATTTCAAGTGTTCTTTCTGTATTGTTAATCAGGTGTAAAACGTGTAAAATATGTTTGCTGAAAAAGATGCAGTGACTGATAATTGGGATTGACTGTAAGATAACTTTGGTTATTTTAGGGTTCTCTGAAGTAATGGTCCCAAATTAATTTCATTAGGACCTACATGAGTGCAAATTACTTTTTCAACTGAAGATGTTGAGAACTCGGGAGACTCGGCAATGTCCTTGTCTATTAAGACATTTTACATTCTTCTTTCCCCTTGCCCTTCCCTTTCCCTTTTCCACTTTTTTTAGATTCTTTTCTTTCATCTTCCTTGTTTCTTTCTGTGGTTTCCTTCTCAACTTCCTGATCTCCTGAAATACTTGACACCTTGTTTTCGTGTTGAATGGAACTATTGATCTCTTGGCCTACATTTCTTTTCTCCATCTCTGAGATCAGATTAACTCCTTCACTGAGCGTCACGTTTTCTGATGCCTGCTGATGCTCCTCAAATGCATCTTCTTTATTTCCAGAAGTATCATGCTGCTGATCATTAGGTTTGACTTTACTGCTGATTTGGCTGTCCTCTGTTAAACATCCTTCTATAACTGTTGTTGTTTGTGGGTTTTCTGTGTCTTGTCCATCATCTTTCTGCTCCTTTGGCTTTGATTCCTGATCTGCAAGTTCTAGATGTTCTTTTTGAATTTGGTCCTCATCAGTGACATTGCTTTGGTTTTCCTGGCTTGCTTCTTGGACATCATCTTTGAAAAGAGTCTCTTCCTCTTTTGGCTGATCTAGAAAGTTTTTTAGAGGGGCATCTGATGATGCTTCAAGATCCATTTCATCAAAATCAAATGATTCTCCTTCATCTTCCTCTTCCTCGTCTTCTTCCTTGAGCTCTTGAGCAGCCACATCTGACTTTACCAGAAGGTCTTCTCCATCTTCAGGCAGTTGTACTTCAAGCTGATTTTGGATTGATCTTTCCTCCTCATCTTTTTCTACCTTGGGTTCTTGTTCAGAAGAATCTGACTCTCCAACTGATTCCTTAATTGCTTCATTGGGAGACGGGTGATCATCATGCACAACCTGAACCTGTGTTTCAATTAAAGGAGTGTGATCAACATGGCTTCCATCAGACACGTTTTCAGTAGGCACGTTAAGGTTTTCTTTATCCAGTTCATCTCGTCTCTCAACCTCTTCCTGGTCCAATTCTGCTCCAACACTGTCTCGAGTATAAGACACTTTTTCAGGAGGCATGTTAAGGTTTTCTTTATCCAGATCATCTTGTCTCTCAACCTCTTCCTGGTTTAATTCTGCTCCAATACTGTCTTGAGTATCAGACACTTTTTCAGTAGGCGCTTTAAGGTTTTCTTTATCCAATTCATCTTGTCTCTCAACCTCTTCCTGGTCCAATTCTGCTCCAGTACCGTCTTGAAGTTGGTTTTCCATTGGCTGATCAATAGGTTGTTCCTTTATTACCCTTTCAGCTTCATTTTCCACCTTCTCCATTACAGAGAAAGAAGGATGAGCAGAGTCATCTTGATCTTCAGGGTTAGTGGTCCCATCTAGATCAATGTTCTGGACATTTTCTTCCTGTTCTTCCACTTCACAGTTCAGATGGCTCTTCACTTCCTTCATGTCTACCGATGAAGATTTCTCAATGTTCTCAGAGCAGCTGGTGGACTCAACACCCCCTTCAACAGCATCCATGGACTGAGCAGAAGGTTCATGAGGCAGTGAAGTCTCCGTTTCTGAAGATACAAGCTCACAGCTAAAGACTACAGCTTCAGAGTCAGGATTTGTTGATTTCTCAATGTGTTCATCAATAATGTTTGCGGGGTTAGAGATAACATTGCTGGACAGATCATCTGAAAGGATGCCATTGCTAGATTCAGGGCAATCAAAATTTGAGATTGTTTTAGAAATTCCTGCAAAATCAGCTTCATCTGTAACTAACATAATTTTATCTTGAACATCATCGGCATTTATATTTGTGCTTGTTGTTTTGATACCATCCAATTCACTGGTTCTTTTAGCATCATGTGGGACATCTGTATTCATCGTTGTTTCGGATGTATCATTCCCTAAGGGCTCCTGATGGTTTCCTTCTAGATCACCTGCCGTTTTTTGGTTTGGATTGTCTTCACTACAAACTGTTTCAGTCTTGTCATCTATCTTCATATCATTCTCTTGCTTGTCACTCTGTTTCTGCTTCTGCTTGTTTTTCTTCTTCTTTTTCTTCTTTTTATTTGAAGCACTGGCACCTTGGGTTTTGGCAAGCTTCTCTGTTTGAGATGATTCTACAGGCTCCTCTTTGAGTTTATCATCAAGCACTGCTTCACCAGGTTGATCAGGTTCATCATGGACAGAACCAGAGACAGACTCTAAAGGAGTTTCTTCTTTGATCACCTGACTAGGTTTGACACATTCACTCTCTTGTTGATCTGTCTCCAAATGTCCATCCTTGTGAACAATGCACTCTACTTCCACTGTATTGCCTCTTGAATCTTCTGGTATATGCGCCTCAGATTTGATCTCCTCCTTGGGTCTTGTTGCAGTGAGTTCATCATCACCAACAGAACTTGGAGGTTCTTCAGGTCTATTCTCAAGCTGCTCTACACCCCGATTCATTTGGTCCCCAAGGTCTCCATTCTCATTTGCTTCTAAAGGTGTGTTTGTAGAACTGAACGGGGCATGTGAAAACTGCTGATTCCCTGGCACCCCATCATCCAGATCTTTTTGTTGCTGGTCTTTACACACCTTCAACTGATGAATGCCTGGGAGATGATTGAGGTGTCAGTAGTTAAAATCTGTAGAAGCCATTGAATATTTGGCAAATGTTTAGAGCAACAAGAAAAAGAAAGAGGGAAAGGAGCGAAAAAAGACTCCATGGCAAAGCTCTTAAACCCATACAAATCAAAAGTCTTGAAGGATGTCCCGAAGAAGAAAACCCCAAAGTAAAGTCAAGAACTGAACAAACTACTCTGCAATTCCTTCTCTTGATTTTGATTTTAAAATCAAGGATGTTGACATTTTTTCAGCAAATTTATAAACACTCATTCAGCAGAGTATTGGAATATGGACTCAAGAAAGAGACATGACTCTGTAGTGTTAACTTTCATTCTAGCTGTAAATGCAAAGTGGATACAGGGAAGCAGGAAAGGGTGAGAGATGTTAATGTGACGGTGCATTTGTAGCAGGCAGTTTGGTTAGACTTGGCTTGAGCTGTACAAGCTGAAAATGCAAAGTGTCAAAGCTAAAAGATGTTAGCATGCAATGAATGAAGCTAAGAAAAGCAGCTTACCTAGTACACTACTCCCCTCTCGGATTTCAGCTGATGCAGTTTGAGAATTCTGATCAGCCTTTCCGGCTTCTTCCTCTGTTTCTCCATTGGTGGCTAAGTCGGGTCCAAGGACAATGCCATGTTTCTGGACAGCAAAACAGTTTAATATTAGTATACTTATTATAAAAACAAATTCAGGTTAAATTTAGACGCACTGGACCTAGATTTCTTATTTTTAAACATGTATTTGTAGATAATATGATTATGATTCTGTTCATTCAGTCAGAGATTGAGTGTTAATGAATCAGTCTCGATTTACATTATAGTCAAGGTCTTAGCATCTGTACATTACTAAAAATTAATATAAAGCTTTTTCGTTAGGAACATTTTATGAGAAAAGAGTGAGCCCTAGTTTCACCACACATATCAATACCTTCAAAATATCTTTGAGCTGAACAACCTCATCTCTAAGCTCATCCCGCTCATTTCGAATGGCATCAGAAAATTCCTTCTGCCTCTCTAATGCCTGAACAGCACCAGAAGGGATTTGGCAAAGATGCGGCGAAGAGGAGAAAAAGAAGGGGAAAGCAATAAAACATCAGTGCTGCAGACAACATTAATAGTTTGGCAATGACAGACAGGTTGTAGCAGGAAACAGATGTGGAATCTAGCTAATCTACAATTATATGTTTGAAAGATAAAATTATAATTCTCTTACAGTGAAGGTAATGACAAATACAGTTTTTTTTTACAGGAGTTGGAAACTGAGGGATCATACCCCAATTTTTTTATTCTTCCACTCAGTAGTTTCCTGGAGGTCAGAAATCTCCCTAACATAGCCGTCTTGCTTGAGCCGTAATTGACGGATCTCCTATAGAGAGGTATTGTGCATGGAAGAAGACCAAAGATGAAGGAAGGAGAAAAGCTGTTAAAGCAGATGGGCAGATAAGCCAAGCATTTGAAAAAGACAAAGGTTTTAGCACAGACATAAATACTACAATACTCACAGTGAGCAGTTCTTCACTCTGTTTCAACGTCTCCTTCAGTTCACTGAACTGAAACTGCAGTATGCTATGAGCATGCTTCTCTCGTTCAAGGTCCTAAAATATAAAACTGCCTTTAGTGGTTTTTTACCCTTTAAATTGAATATTTGTACACCATTCTATTTCAATCATAACATGACAAAAAGATTACAAATAATAAAAAATAAAATGAATGAAGAAAATTTCCAATTAAAAGCTCTTACTATTGTAACAATCTATTATTTGTGGCTCGACAACATATTACAACAAAGCATTACTGCAGCTTCTTATAATGCACACCTGACTGTACAGACCTTACACTTTTCCTCAAGCTCACGGCGTGTTTCAAAGAGCATCTCCTCCAGTTCCATTAAAGAGTCTTTCAAAGTGTCCACTTCATACATCATATTGGTCTTCTCATTGTCCAGCTGTGCATTGGAGACCATGGCCTTACGGTACTTTTCCTCCACTTCCAAAAGGGAATCCTTTAAGAAGTCAAGACACCACAATGAAAACCAGCAAACACTCACAAACACCCATCTGTCTGTGCATGCATTAAATTTCTCCTTAAAATTAAAAACGAATCAAACTAAATCATGAAGAGGGATGTGTAACAATATGTTTTGGAGAATAAGATAAAGTCAAAGATGGAAGCAAGGCAGAGAAAATTAGGCTATAGACTTCAGTGGCATAGACATATAAACATGCAAGATCCCAATATCACATCATCTCATGTTTCTGATCAGCCACTCGCTGGTTAAAAAGCACAAAATTTGTTGTTCCTTTGCCAGCACTATCATAGATAAATCAAACAAAGCAGGTTCTCGCTGGGCTTTTGACTGGCACTGCCTTTACCAGCCATGTACCTTGAGCTCTTTGAGGTTCTGCATGTGCTTTGCCTCCACATCTTGAATCTGATCCTTAAGCTCATGGATCTCCTGAATGAAAAGCATGAAGAGTGAGGATGAAGAGGAAGGATAAAGGATGTAGTGGAGGAAGAGCAACGGAAGGGTAAAGAACACCAGACTTTCAAATGAATTACTGTGCAAAAAAACAAGTACAAAGCTGTAGAAAATAACAGTGAAGCAGATCGTAGAAGGTGGTCAGTCCTGCTCCTGAAGAGTTCAACACACAGACATCTTAGTTATATTGTTCAGGTGTGTTTGATTGGAGCTGAGACTTTGTTGGAAGGCAGATCACTAGGAATACGACTGAGCAACATAAAGAAAGTGGAAATTGTGTTCTGTGAGCAAGATGAGTGATGAAAATGAGCAATGAGTTCTTATCAGACTAAATTATATTATAAATAAATGTATTTATAAAATATGCTATGCTAGAGTGCTATTAACTTGGATTCCAATATGTAAACAGCAAAAGCATACCATGAAATCATGGGATGATATCATGTGGTTCTATAAACCTGCTGCTTAAATTTAAACTGGCACAAGACAAAGAGATCAGGACACACACCTTGATTTCCCTTATGGATGCTTCTGTGTCAGCAGAGATGGATGTATCTCCACTTCCTCTCCGTGAGGACGTCCCACCCAGAGAGGTAAGAGTGGCGCCAGAAATAGTTGATGCTCGTGAGGATCCCTAAAAATACAGCAAGTCATAGGTCACATCCCTTGGTTATAGAGTTTATGATGAGAATATAGGCTTAAATGGTTAAAAAGATAAACAAATTGGCAAAAAAATCACAAACCTTTTCCAAGTGGTCTCGCTCTAACCTGTCATCAGCCTGTAAATAAAAAAGATGATACACAGTCAATAGAGTTTGTAGTCTTGCAAAAATCGAGTCAAGCCATCGAGTCTCTTATTCATTCATTCTGATTCATGCTGTTCCTTGAAGACATGCTGTTAACACAAAAAAGTTAGTAAAAAAGATATTCCCATTACAGGAAGAAAATCAGTCCAAGTCAAGCTGAAAAGATTCAAACCACAATGATAGTATTTGATCAATAATCAATATGCAACCATCAAGCAATTATGTAAGTAACAGAGTGCTGCGAATAGGTCTTTTTAAAATAACCTTGAATTATAATATTAACAATTGGAAATTTCTATCAAGCATCATGACAAGCATCAGACTTCTGTGGTTTTCTGCACATAACCACTTTTCTGACCACTGACCATCTCACATGCAGACCATCACCTCAATTCAACATGCCACTGTTTGTAACACACACACATTTAAACCAGGGCATCAACCACCACAAATCACATGAACCCGAAGATTTCACTCTCATACCAGCCTCCTGTTAATGTTTGGCAGGTCAGGAATGACCACACGGTCAAGGTCTCTAGAGAGGCCACTGATACTAGCTGAGCTGCGCATAAAACTAGCCACTGAGCTGCTGCAGTCCTCCTGGAAACCAGCAGATGGCAGCAATTAACATCAATGCAAGAGGTATTTCAGCTATTTGTGAAGTCTCAACTGTCCAAGTTTAAAAGTTGGCTTTTTGCATGCGCCCAAAGAAAGAATGCACACAAACACACACATCACCTCAGATGTCCTTTCTTACACTGTTAAAGTAACCCAATCCTACTTAACAAGGTAAACATCAAGCAATTAAACACTTTAACTCGGAGACTAAAAGCATATTCATCCACTGATTTAGCTAGAAACAACAATCAATTTCACACAATACAGGATTTATGAGACATTAAAAGCAAAAGCCCCAATGAACTGGACGCTTGCAGCTGTAACTGAATCTGTCACTGAGAAAGCAACTTATGAAATATAATTGTGATAGTCCATGATCATCTTGGGCATCAGTGACCGTGAAGTTGCTCACCACTGGACTTCCACACGCAGAATTTGCTCTGGACGAAGTCTTAGAGCTGGAGCCCAGGAAACCACTGTATTCAGAGGACTAGAGGAACACACACACACACACACACACACTATGAGAATGTGAAGAATCAGAGAATGAGCAAGAGAGACAATATACACAAAATGGATTCGAGATTGTCAGACATTTCAGGCCTGATACAGTCACCGCACATCTGTAAGAGTCTCCACAAAAAAAAATAAATAAATAAATAAATAAAAATATATATATATATATATATTCCAAATCTACAAGCAGTACAAATTTACAAACCGAAAACAAGCTGGTAGAAAACTACCCACTTTGACAACATACATGCCTGTCAATGTCTTACACATTCTTTGTTAGAGAACAAGCTTGACATGAAATACTTGATATTTAAATTTGTGACATACTGCATCTAAAATCCTTTTAACCTGCATTTTGTTCATTTCTTAAGATTATACATGCAGTTATTAATTTGAGAGACAACATGCAATATTTGTACTTTTTAAATGGTTCTGTGGTACGGCAAATCAATTAAACCAACTAGTGAAATATAATAGTTTACATATATAGTTTATGATGATTGCTAAAATATATGTAAAAACACCTAAAATACACACTTTCCTTTAAACATTCATGTCAATTTTAACCAAAAATCTTGTTGTTTATCAAAAGATAATGTCATGTGACGATGTTAAGATTGTCAGCTACCCAAATATAAAGCACTCTTAGCTTTATGGAATTAACAAAGCCTTTTTAAAAGCATTTCAAAGCATTTTTGACCTGCATTAGCTTCTAAATCACATTCAGTCCCATGTGTTTAATGTGTTAAAACAAACACAAGTAATATTTTGAGAATGCTCTGAGTGGCATTATAGCATTAATTATTATGAAGAGAGAGAATATTACAAATTTAAAAAAATTCACACTTGTTGGTTAGGGAACTGAATCCACAGGTTAATAGGGTACAATTTTCATGCACATTTACAGTTTAGCTCTATCATTCTTACAGCACGAGCACTGGAGCGTCGAGAGCCACTGTAGAGACTGTCCTCATATACAGAGCCCTGATGACGGACAGATATAAACACACAGCAGAGAAACAACATTTTTATCACCTTCTCACGCCTTGAGGTCTTACCCATAACCACTCTGTGCAAGTGAGCATGCAAACTCTCTCCACAGTCTCAGTTCTCCTTTTTTATGCACAGTGTATCAATAGTCTTTCATCACATTCAGATGACCACGTGACTCACGTCATTTGATTTCTGTCAGGTTGGTGGGGAAAAGGTCTGTAACTAGTTATTAAAGGTGAAGTGTGTAATTTTTCAATATTTTTATTCATTTTTATCCCAGTTTAATATGCTGAGATTGCTATTCATAGGATAAAACCCCTTTTAAAATGTCAACTGACTGATGAGCTAATAAAGTGGAAGTTAGAGCAAGATCACAAGATCACACAGATCACAAAATATTGGTTAAAACAGTACAAAAAATGTTGATATTTTTCAATATCTACCAGGAAAGAAGCATTGTAGTCATTAAAATAACTATAATAGGTTTTTGGGAAGTCTGGTTGGGAAAACAATTAATCCGCACAAACCCTAAAGACAACTAAACAGACAGAAGAGATGAATTTTTCAAGATTTCAAATCAAATACAGAGAGAAAGTGGAGAATAACTACAAAAAATGTGGACATGACAGGGGAAAATGATACAAGAAAACAGAAAGAGGGGATTTAAACAGTGGATATACTCAGCAGCATGGAAGGAGCGGATGAAGATGACAGACCTGGTAGCCATTGTAGGAAAGGGCTTGAAGTTTAGAGGAATAACTACTGCTGCTGTACAGTTCAGATGAATAGAAGGCTTTCTAAAATGATGGGAAATAATGTAGATGATTGAATGACAAACTGATGAAGACAGAAGCGTGAGAGATGTACAGAGTGATGGAGGGAGAAAAATGTTTTACCATGCTAAAATGTGCAATGCAGGGGCATCATGCCAGCTGAGGTCAGGAATGGTACTAAATGGGCTTTTTCACACTTGAAAATGTTCACCCAGGATAATTTTTTGTAACATATTTGCAATAATTATCTTATTTCATGCTGCACACTGTTTATACATCACCCAGGGTTGAGACTGCACAGTTCACATATTTGGCAGTGTAATTTGGAGATAAAAAGATGTTAACACTACCTATAGGGCAAAAATGTTTGTGTGAAAAGCCATTAATTTTGCTACAATTCACATGCATAAAACTGTTGCATAGAAACACACCTGTATTAATTAATCAATAATTGTACGTCATCTACTATTTTACAAGTAACTACCCAAATCCCAAACTCTTCAGGTTATTTTATTTGGTCTAGCTGGTCTGCCGGACTGGCCAAGGCATGCTGGTTTCTCAGCTTGATTGTTTAAAACCTCTCTAAAACCAAGCAAACCAGATTAGTCTGAACAGGTTGGAATACCAGCAAATCAGCTAAAAGTGGTCAACCAATATAGATAAAAAAAGAGGCTGTTGCTGTTATTGTTAGATAACATCATTTGTCATCATTGTATCATTGTAGTGATACGATGCTGCAAAAAATGATATTTTACATAACATTTACTGAATTAAAATAAATAACTTGAATATAAAAATTAATTAATATAAAAAATTGAAATTGTAAAATACATTTATACTATAGATAGCAACTTCTTGATTCTGTAATATCAATAAATAAATATAAAATTAAAGTCCTGGTGTTGGTGCCGAGTGCCTACACTTTCTGGCCAGTGCTTATCATTGTAAAAAAAATAAATAAATTTGTCCAACCACTATGTTATTTTTAACAAATCCATCATGCTTTTTCAAAGATTCACGCCACTCATGTTAGATATATTTTCATGTTAATCACACAAAGAGATGCCGTATTGAGACCCACCGACTGCCGATCAAGTTTAGAGGAGCGAGACATTTTGCTCTCATCACTGAGTCTGGAGCTCTGCGCACAAATACACAGAGTCCAGTTTACAATCTTCACACTGATTTGTACCACATCACACCAGAGTTAGTCACACTACTGCATCATGAATTAACACCACAGACTCCTGGATGTCATAATAGGTGAACCAACACACTAGTTAATACTCAAACACCATCATCACACGGTTTGCCACTAACCCGATTAGACAATGTGCTGAGATCATCGTCATAGCCATTGCTCTGTGGGATAGACTAGAAGTCATGATTGATATTACATCTTCTTGTTACAGAACATACATGTGACGTGCATAAGTGCTGCGAACGTACGGTTTTGGAAGAATGTTTCTTCTTTTTCTTGGACTTCTTATGTGAGTGATAGGAGGAGGCCTGGGGAAGCTGGACAGGATGGTGGGAAATGGAAGTAATATTAAATCTGCAGAATTAACTGCTCAATACTTCATGGTTGTGAACATGCAGGTGAAGATTCAGACACTTCAGAGACATAACAGAAATGTTATGGTCATATGGTCATATTTGATCAAATCCAGGAGACAAACCACACCCCCTTCATTTGTAATGTTGATGAAACACTTCAAAACATCACAAATGTAGCATCAGGTATTAGCTATACTTAGTTGAAACACACCACAGTGCAAAAACAAAACCGTCTTGTGAACTCAATTATGTGCTCATTCACAGGAACCTGAAAGTAATGATATAACATCCATGCCCGAAGAAACATTTCCCACCCTGAGATTCTTACCACGCCGTAAGCACCCGCCGCATCCAAATCCAACTGCCCAGACAAACAAAACCACCATCAGCATGAAGAACATTTTGGACTGTTTTATAACCTTAGACAACACACAGCGAGCACACACTCATATACACCAACAACAAACACTCTGACCGACAGCACAGAAGGTTTATACCAGAGGTGTCGAACTCAGTTCCTGGAGGGCCGCAGCCCTGCAGAGTTTAGTTCCAACCCTGCTCCAACACACAAACCATGTATTTTTCCAAATAAGCCTGAAGGACGTGATTAGCTGGATCAGGTGTGTTTAATAAGGCTGTGGCCCTCCAGGAATTGAGTTTGACACCCCTGGTTTATACAGTTTATAAGGAACTATAGTTACACTGATACTGACCCGTATGTTGCTCCTGCTCCCCACTGACATCCGTTCTTCATCATCTGACACCTTGATGGACAAAAAAAAAGGTAAAATTAGATGGAGTACACAGTTAGCAAGAGTTTAAAGACATAAAACTCACCACTGTGTAAATAAACAGCAAATCAGTATGTACAGTGAGCCCCAAAATAAGTCTGACTTAAAAGTAATTGCTTTTGGAATAAAATCCAAGTGTATTTTTTTTTATGAAGGACAAACTTGTTGTGAAATGTTTTGCATGAGAAGTGTTTGTGGAAGTGGTTTAGGAGGACAGACAGTTAAAAGACAAAGGTACAAACCGAAGCATGTCTCCGTGAGACACGTGTATATTGCTCACTGTCCTCCTGAGAAGAGAAGAGAAGAGAAGAGAAGAGAAGAGAAGAGAAGAGAAGAGAAGAGAAGAGAAGAGAAGAGAAGAGAAGAGAAGAGAAGAGAAGAGAAGAGAAGAGAAGAGAAGAGAAGAGAAGAGAAGAGAATAAGCAAGATGGCAAAAGAGGCACACAAGACTCAGCAAGAAAGGCTGAGCAGTTTATGCAAATCAGTAATAACTGATGCAAGAGCAATCATGTAAAAAAAAGGTAAACCAAAAACTCAAGACAAAAAAAAGTGAAAAGATGTAATACATTCACATTTACGTTCTTGGGGTCAGTAAGATTTTATTTTTACTTTTATTCAGGAAGGAATGCTTTAAATTTATCAAAAGTGACAGTAAAGACATTTACAGTGGGTACGGAAAGTATTCAGACCCCCTTAAATTTTTCACTCTTTGTTATATTGCAGCCATTTGCTAAAATCATTTAAGTTAATTTTTTTTCCTCATTAATGTACACACAGCACCCCATATTGACAGAAAAACACAGAATTGTTGACATTTTTGCAGATTTATTAAAAAAGAAAAACTGAAATATCACATGGTCCTAAGTATTCGACCCTTTGCTCAGTATTTAGTAGAAGCACCGTTTTGATCTAATACAGCCATGAGTCTTTTTTGGAAAGATGCAACAAGTTTTTCACACCTGGTTTTGGGGATCCTCTGCCATTCCTCCTTGCTGATCCTCTCCAGTTCTGTCAGGTTGGATGGTAAATGTTGGTGGACAGCCATTTTTAGGTCTCTCCAGAGATGCTCAATTGGGTTTAAGTCAGGGCTCTGGCTGGGCCATTCAAGAACAGTCACAGAGTTGTTGTGAAGCCAGTCCTTCGTTATTTTAGCTGTGTGCTTAGGGTCATTGTCTTGTTGGAAGGTAAACCTTCGGCCCAGTCTGAGGTCCAGCTCTGTGCCTTGCCACAATTCTGTCTCTGAGCTCTTCAGGCAGTTCCTTTGACCTCATGATTCTCGTTTGCTCTGACATGCACTGTGAGCTGTAAGGTCTTATATAGAGAGGTGTGTGGCTTTCCTAATCAAGTCCAATCAGTATAATCCAACACAGCTGGACTCAAATGAAGGTGTAGAACCATCTCAAGGATGATCAGAAGAAATGGACGGCACCTGAGTTAAATATATGAGTGTCACAGCAAAGGGACCATGTGGTATTTCAGTTTTTCTTTTTTAATAAATCTGCAAAAATGTCAACAATTCTGTGTTTTTCTGTCAATATGGGGTGCTGTGTGTACATTAATGAGGAAAAAAAATTAACTTAAATGATTTTAGCAAATGGCTGCAATATAACAAAGAGTGAAAAATTTAAGGGGGTCCGAATACTTTCCGTACCCACTGTATAATGTTACAAACGATTTATTTTATTAAATCTATACTGTTCTTTTGAACTTTGTTCATCAAAAAAACATTGATAATAATAATAAGAAATGTTTCTTGAGCACTAAATCAGCATATTAGAATGCTTACTAAAAGATAATGTAACACTGAAAACTGGCTGCTATCACAAAGCTACATTTTAAAAGACCAATTCTAATATTCCACAATATTACAGTTTTGACTGTATTTTTATCAAATAAATGCAGCCTTGGTAAGCATAAGACTTCTTTCAAAATCATTTAAAAAATCTTATTGACACCAAACTTTTGAATGTTAGTGTACATTAAAATATCTACAATGCCAGGAAACATATATAAACAAAGTTTTATTTTATTTGTTGAAAAGTTGTGAAAATGCAAATCATGTAGAGGTATTGACCTAGTGTTGAGACATGCAACCCTGATATCCAACATCAAACATGCTAATTATTAACAAATAGAACATGAACACATCCTGTATTGCAATCCCTATCATGTAAAAGTCACATGCTGATGAAACTACAGGCTTAGAAAAACTCAAAACAGTGAATGTACCATCCACTGCTCAATGTCCCCCCATTTGTTGTCCAAGTTATCCAGTCCATAGTATTTCTAAAAAAGAGAAATGCAGCAGAAACGCGGAGAGAAAAATAAGGTAAGTTCATGTAACAAGAATGCAACAGCAGGAAAGGAATTAAAGTACAGTATTTAAGTACAGTATTTTAAAAAATGGTACATAAGTTGTCACTGGGGTGATAGGTACCCTTTCAAAAGGTACTAATATGTATCCTTTAAGGCACAAATATGCACCTTGTAGTGGTAAATACAGTACAAAGATGAACCATTTGAAATGGCACCACCCCAGTGACAGTCTTTGTACCTTTTTCCTGACTGTGTAGAGTACAACTACAGCATCAGATGTCCTACCTTCTGCACCTGATAAATCTACATCACAGGAGGCCAGCAAAACAGGATCAGATGAGCAAAGGAAAGAAAGCCACCAGATGGGGAAAGCAAAGGGAAAAAGAGAGGGCATTGATTATTTGACATGAAAGAGAGCTAACCGAGTGGAAGAGTGTGTGCTCAAAGATAATGGAGCGAAAAGGGAAAGCTGTTTTAGCAATTTGAAAGAAGTTTTTGCAATCCGTCAGCTCAGTGTCATGTTACCTGGCCTTACAGGTAAACTTACAGCTAGAGAAAACAATGGCAGTTCACACACTTGACTCAAAGAACACATAAAGGTCAAGTGGATCAACAAGCAGCAAAATTCAATGCCAACACTGAACTGTCAATCAGGAATTTAAAAAAATCACAATGCGAGCTAATAAAGCATCTGAATTATGTCATGCAACTGTTCAGATATCTGAGAACATACTCAAGAGTCACAGAGGGTCGTGTGATCTGGTCTATGGGGTAACAGGACAACATGGGGTAACACCTCGCTTTTCAGACCGATGAGCTTTGTAAAAATCGACGCGTTTCAGAAAGGCGGGGCATAGAGGAGAAACAATAATGTACAGTATGTGGAAAATAATGTTTTTTGAACCTTAAACCGCATAAACACATTTCATTACACCAAATACACAAAATAATGTTCTTTTTAGCAACATCATATGACCCCTTTAAGGTTTCATTTGGTCCACTAATGATCAAACCAATGAACAGCACTGGACTAGTATAGCAGTGTTATGTTCACACTAGTACACTTTTGTACGTGTTCTTGTTCATTACTTTTTCACAAGTAACAATAACATCAACAGATAAGCTGAAGATTCTTAAAATATCCAAATACTATGGTTTGGTCCCCACAGTATATTTTGACACTTATAAATGTACTAACCTCCTGCTAATGACATAACTAAACCCTGTTAATAGATAAAACCTACACAAAAGCAGTTTTCTAGCTAGAAAAAAGACATCTCTTTAACAGTTGGTTGTATATTTTGATAATTTAATCAAGAATTTAATCTAATTATTATATAGTCTAAACTATACAGTGCAATAGTGAACACTTTCACTCTTACTTACTGAAAACCTACAGAATCTCACCTAACTGGTTTCCCCATGTGTATTTGCTCCGGTTTTGATGAGTGTTTATTCATCCAGTCCTGTACAAAACGTCTTCCTTTGAATTACCTTTAACACCTTATGTATCAAATTAGAGACTTTCCCACAACATCAGTGCTCTTTTGTTTCTGCACTCTCACAGAATTAGCCAAAAAACTAAGAAATTGTTAGGGTTTTAGAAGAAAAGTTACCATGTTCTTCAAAAGGTACAAAATAAAACTTTTTTCTAATAAATCGAAACTGCAAACTGCATCTGGCACAAACCCAATAAACACCCTTGATAGAACCTACACTCAACCTTTTGACTAGCACAAAACAGTTTCAGAACTCTTCATTAAGTTGATAGGTCATAGTCAACAAATAAACCCAGAATAAAATACACTTGATCAGATCACCCGATGCTAGTTAAACTAGTACAGAAAATCAAATGCATCAATCAATCTGTTACTTACTTATTAACACAGTAGTAACATAGTCAGTAATTTCGTATCTTTCCATGCTCATCTAGTAAACTTAATCTCACCTTCCTCAGCAGAGGGGTCTGGAGTCTCCCACTGATCACTTCCCTAGCCCCTCTTCACACTAATCGCTTGCAGGCCGTCCTAATAGTCTCAAAGAGTCCCCATCTATCTCAGGACTGAGGGAGACAGAGACCTTCTATGATTCCAAAGACGCACTCTGCCATAAAATCCAAACCTCCACAAAGTCTGGATTAAACTCTTCCAGATCTATTTTATGTCACAGCATCTTCAAACTTGAGTCATTGTGTTTGCGGTCAGCATAATGATCACAGCCAGATAGTGAGAACTGAGTGGAAACTGAATCTGTTAACCCGCTGCAGGAACGGCTGAAAGCTCATAATCTACTTTTAAAGACTTGACTGGAGATTTAAAGCCACATAACACACACCCTTAACATTCACACACACCTCCTGATCAGACCAGGCTTAACTCTGAATGCTAGCTAATCTCTCAAGTGTGACCTGGGTATGCTTAAAGGGTGTGTTTATCTTCATTACATAAGTTTGTTGCGTCTGAGCTCAGGTATCACAGTGTGGGTTTCTGGTTGTCCATTTACCTTCGAAGGACCCTGAGCAACTTCATTCATATGCACTTAATCAAATATCCTTAGATATCTTAAGGAATCTACAACTTGTTTAAATTCATGCGTCTGAACCCATGCCATTCATGTCCTATTTACTGTGTGCAGTCAGCCGTAGCAAACCAGCATCAGCAGTCACAGTGCATTAACACTAATTACCCAGAATTAACCATACGCATATCCATGAGTTGGAACCAAATGTTGCCATTTCTTTAAATCCAGCTCTCTTTACTATGGGGAACGTTTAGGCAACAAACTGATATAGTACCAAAAGCCTGACAAAACAAATGAATAACTCAACATCTATAAAGTCTGTTTGTAAAGACTTACAGTAACTGTAATTTAACAGGGAGTTGAGAATGACCTGTAATCTTGGGCCAGAATTAGGGGTAAAAGTACAAAACCTGCAGTAAAGCTGCAGGGTACTACAACAAAATGAGCATAAAGTCCAGGCCTTTTTTTCATGAGTGTTATTTAAGCTATTTGAACAAATTCCTCAGACAACCTAATCAAATTAAATCAATTGCATGTTATTGTACACTTACAAAGTGGGGCATGAGTTAATACTATTTTCATAGATAAACCTTTTTTTCTTTATTTCTTCAGTGGAACACGAAAGATGATAATTTGAAAAATGTCTCAGGGTTTTGTTTTTCTTTTGTCCACGCACTTAAAGTAAATGGGGTCTTAAAAACATTGGACCCCACTGACTTCTTCCAGGCCTTTTTTCATGAGTGTTATTTAAGCTATTTGAACAAATTCCTCAGACAACCTAATCAAATTAAATCAATTGCATGTTATCGTACACTTACAAAGTGGGGCATGAGTTAATACTATTTTCATAGATAAACCTTTTTTTCTTTATTTCTTCAGTGGAACACGAAAGATGATAATTTGAAAAATGTCTCAGGGTTTTGTTTTTCTTTTGTCCACGCACTTAAAGTAAATGGGGTCTTAAAAACATTGGACCCCACTGACTTCCATTGTATTGGCAGTTGAAACAATTTTTCAAAATATCTTCGGTGTTCTGAAAAATACAAAGTCATAAAGATTTAGACAGGAGGATGAGTAAAAGACAGAACGTTATTTTTTGGGTTACCTCTTTAAGCTGTATTTAACATTGAATACTTTTAAGTTTGTTTTTCTTTGTAAAGACCACAAAGTGCTCATGTAACCTGTAATATTTCTGAGCATGAGCAAATGCTTAAGTTCAAATGGGCTCTTAGAAGGTCTTGACCCAGGGGGTGATTAACTGACCCTGATCCCCGTTACCCAGCCAAAACATGTCCTTCAAAGCGCAGAGCCCACAATCATGATGAAGGTTAAACAAATTGAACATAATCAGCTGACAGTGTTGTGCAGGAGCAAGTCAACAAGAAGACCATAAGAAAGAATCGGTTTTGAGAATAAAGGCCTTTTCCGCTGGCAGTTCAATAGGAAAACACCTTGAAAATATTTTGAGTGAACAAAGGCCAAGACTGGATAAATATTATCAGCGACAACGTTTTCAAAAACGCCAATGCCATTTTAAAGGCCTACAAGCTCAACACACTCTTGAACTGTATTGGAAGGTTCTCCTCCTGTGTTTCAACACATTGTGTAATGCAGGTTGTTTACTTTGTGTGGTGCTTTTAGTTTCTTAACATATGACTCTTGTTAGAAGGTGCTGTGATTATGATAGCAGTGAAAGGGGACATATCCACTATACGCACAGAATGGAGTTAAGCAGGTAAGCGCATGGGGATGGGACTTTTCCGGAAGTTAAACCTCCTCAAATCTCAATCTTACAGGATAAGTCACATGTTACTGGTGGGCATGTCAAAACATCTATGTACTGGAACAACACTGTCATGCTAGAAGGTTTTCTGAGCCCCCTAATTAATAAATAAATGTATAAAGAATAAATAAATGCAATTTCTATAAAGACGTATATTATAGCTTATAGAATATTATATGAGACTTGAAAAGCAATACGTAAAAGTTGATACAAAATCAAGACCAACATCACATTTAGCAACGCTAAGGCCTAAATTTCAGCCTAAGTTTCAGCCTTCAGTGATTGTATTTCTTCACCTCTTTCTGTTGTCTCTCCAGTTCTCTCATTCTGATCTCACGAGCTTCTGCACGGGCCGCCCTCTTAGCTGCCAAACGGGCTTCAGCCTGCAGGGGGCGGATGGGGAAACAGAGAAAGAGAAAGAGAGAGAGGTAAAGTCATTAAACCATAACCAAGAGACCATGAGCACTGTAGTAAATGCAAAAAATAGAGGAAGTTAAATCAACACACAAAAAACTATGTATCTCCTCCCTGTCATTAAGTTTTATGTACTGTAACTGTATACTCCTCAGACTGCACATGCTATGAATGTGTTTGTTTACATGAGTATGTATGTGTGTATTTGTGACTTTAGTTCATCACACTTTGAAAGTCCTTTTAACCCTTAAATGCATAAATGTTTCACCAATCATTATTACGTATTTGGGTCTTTAGCGACCCGGACCTATATATCCAGCACGGATGGACCTCTAACTGCTGCAATAGCAAAAAAAATTCTTGATATTTTAAGAACAATTACAGAAGAAAAAAATAAAGCATATTTTGTTTCCTTTTGAAACTTAAAAGGATTGGTAAAGCCATTCAAACCACTTCAATTTTTGCTGATGATATTCGTTTGTTTTATGCCTGCGGTAATTATGAGTGAAACATCACATCATCATTGTGTATCAAACAGTGCCACCTTGAGGAAAAAAGATGCATTGCACATATTGAGTCATCAGATATGTAAATATAGTTGCGCAGGAAAAAATACTTACACATTTACATACCTCGGGTCTCTAGTGACCCTATACACTTTTTACAAAATAATAATCAGAAAACAGGCATTCTTTTATATTTTACTATTTTTTTCATGTTATATTGTTTATAATGAATATATTGAGGAATACTAATAAAGTTGATGTCGAAGTTAAAAAAATTAAGGAGGGAGAGGGTAGAGAATGATGTCCCGGGTCGCTAAAGACCCGAGGTATGCATTTAAGGGTTAAGGAAGAGACTCCTTGTAAGGCATGAGGGGGAGAGGAGAGAGAGAACACACTTCCTTCCTGCAGATGACGCCACAAAATGTTTAACAACCCAAAAAAAGTGAAAACCTCAACTCCAGTATTTCATCATAGACACTACACACTACCCCTCCCACAGTGATGTCTGCAACTGAAATCTGCCCATTTCCCCCCCAATCCTGTACTAACAAGTAATCTTTACACCAGACGCATGACTGTAACAATCACATATTCCTGAAAACACAGCAAAGTATTGATATTTATGTTTTAACAGGAAAAAAAGAATGTTAAAATTTAAAAAAAAAAATGTAAACAGTGGAACTACTACTCCAAGGGGCATGCAAGATTTAAAATGAATTCCTGTGTTTGTTAGCTGCTGGAGAAATCCATAATGACGTGTTCCTGAGTAAATGTCAGATCATATCTTAATGTCTCAGACTGAGGCCTTCCGTCCTGAACACAGTCACACAACTTTCCAAGGAAGCAGCTGTTTCTCACCACAAAGGTCTTGCGTCCCTTTGCCAACAACGATGTTAAAGAAATATTTTGCCAAAATAAATATTTCCACAGCTTCAACCACTTCTTGTGAAAGAAAGTGATGGCCTAATTTTACTTTTAATTTTAGAAACTTTTTTTGTAAATTTAGGAGTGAAGGACAAGCTTCTACATATTCTTTCCAGTTCAATTTAATATACCCTTGCTAAATAAAAGTATTAATTTCATTCATTCAAAAATAAATAAATAAATATCCCCAAACTTTTGAAAGGCGGTGTAGTGCAAGTAATTGAAACAATCACACTTGCAAAGACATTTCCCATGTTGGCAAATCACAGCACTATTCAAATAATCAAATCAAAGCAGCAACACAGGACAAGGGAGGACAAATAAATTAGGAATATTTAACCTTTCTCATCCTTAATGAGTGGTGCTGTGCAGTTGACATTCAACATCAGAATTAAACATCCAAATCCGAATTCAAGAAATACCTTTATATTGAATATCACTACAGTTGTAAACAGGAAATGTGTGACCATGTTATGTTAGTACTGTTGTAATGAAGGCAGATAATTGTGTAGAAGAACTGCCAGGGCGAAGTTACTACAGCCAAGCCTGGCAATTAAGCAGCTGTCCAAACATGTTTCTAACAGGTTCTCACTAATGTCAACATATGATTTCCACAAACACAGCAATCCACCTATGCATACATGCTTCTTTAAAATAACAGTTACCACCCAACAGGGCTTTGACTGTGCTGAAAATGTTGAATAAGATTTAATTTGGAAAAAAAAACTAAACATCAAGGGTAATAGAGTATTCAGAAAACTTTCAGGAATAAATGCACTTTGTATGACTGCGTGACTAACAGGGTAACCAAAACTATGCCTTTTTTGACCATAGCAGGAAATCAGAGGGCTGAGTCATTCACAATTGAGCCTGGATCACACCCTTCCTGCACTTTAGCAGAACAAACCACTGATCGTATGAACGCCCATCACTGCTTATTTCTGATGCGGAGGGCATGTACATGCGCAATATGATTTACATGAACAAGATAATCATTCATATTACTGAACCAAATCTTTTGTAGTACATGTCAGTCAGTGCTTTACACAATGCTTACAATATACCCAAGAAAACAAGGGTTTTGACAAGCAAAAAAATACATAAAATGTGCATAGGCACCTAAAAGAAGCAGGTTAGCAATCTTAAAGAAAACATGCACTATTCATCCCCTCTGAACTAAAACAAGCAGCTCTTTTATCATAACCCATATTCACATTAAGGCCTACCTTCTTGCAGTTATCAAAGTACACCATGATATCAGTCACGGTGAGCATATGATAGCCTGGGTCATCTGCATTTTCCCCCATCATGACCATTTACACACTCCTATCGCAGAAGAGGAAAACACACTGGCCTATTTCACACACCTCTCTCCTCTCACTCTCTCCTCAACAGCTATTTTTAATGACCCAAATGGAGCAGGTTCTATCAATAAACCCAAAATGCTCTAATTTAATGAAAGTTCTGTGACGTGGATGTTCTCAACGAGAACGAAGAGCTAGTTCCACTGCTGTCTGATAATGAACCTTTTTTTTTTTAAACAGAAATACATCGTTTAATTGCTCTAATTGACCACAGAGTACATTCCTTCACAACGTTATTGTGAACAGTTACCAAATTGAGACTTAAATAAAGGATCAATTCAAAGGTGTAATTTTTTAAGTAGTAGATACGGCCCTATCTTGGATGCACACAGCCTGCTATGTCACAAATGATGCACTAGACTATGCACTTCTAAAATGCACTCTACCGTCTAAGAGTGCCATCTAGCATTGCAATCTAATAACCCCTCCCTCTCATAGTGTGTGAACATTACTCACACTAGTATTGACACTAAAACATGGCATAGAATAGTGCATAAATACACAAATTGGGAAGCACCTACATTCTCATAGATGCAGCATCTGAAAAAGTTGGCAGTTGGCATTTGCAATCAGCCATGGTTAATGTATGAAACTCGGATGAAGTGTTGCTAACATGTCTGAAGCATAAACAGAGAAATGACTGTTTCTACTGACATTTTTTTCCAAATCACAAATATGAGCATCTCCACTTCATTTAGAATTAGTTTGAAAACAGGGCTTAGAAAAAGAGATTTGTTATTGCAACACTTTAGGAGCTGTTCACACAGAACGCATTCACTTATTCCACCGTGCTACTTTTCAATTGTTTTTGAATGTAAACATGCTAGATTGACTGTTGCACTTGCGCCTCGTGTCTTTTGCAGCATCTCGCACATTACTTTTCATTTTTTTTAAACTGCACCTGGAGGCCTTGCAAGGTCCAAGCAAAAACATGTTCTGTGTAAATGGCCCCTTAGAGTTTAACTAACAGAGTTGATGAATTATTGTGTTTTTGGATTTTTTTCAGATAGATGATTGTGGACAGGTTTACTAAAATGCCTTGTTTGGTGCCTTTTAAGGTAGACATGCAGGACAAGCCTGTCATTCAGGAGTCCCTGGGAGTTTGATGAATGCCAGGACAATTTGAGCCCAGAGTTCTTATCTGTTATCATAAATACCACAGAAGGAGATGCCAAGCTGGCCAGATCTCTCTCTCCCACGGCCTCTTGTACCAGCATGCCAGGCTGAGCGGGTACACGCTAATCATCTGGACTGCTAACAGACTAGCTGTAACAAAGTTAAGGAACAAACCGAAGATATGCAATACAACTGACTTGAGGCCCTCAACTGCTCCTTGTTCGGTGTGTTTTGGACAGTACTCTGGAAGCAGAATTTACTAAAAATGTTGACATTTAAAAAAAGAGACATTATTAACTCCAAAACTATGACTTGTATAAACCAAGAGAGTCCCTGGGCAGTTTAATTCATCTAAATGTGGAAAGCTCAATATTAAAAATGTGTATCATTTTGCCAGCTGTGTACACTGGATTAACGGTCTTCAGTATGAGACATAAACAGTCTTTCTTACTTGAGTACTAACGTAAGAGCCAGAGACTGGAACATATGAAATCACTGGAGACGTCTGCCACATTTCTGGTCTGCCCATATTAACACCTACATAAATCGTGCCAGCCTTCCATTTCAAACATAAACCAAACAATGTCTGATCTGTGTGTGGTGGGTGCATATTTTAGCAAGTTCCTGGGATCTGTGGCAGAATTGAATATCAAATCTGAGCTTGCTCAAAAAGAAATCACCATGTAGGGATAAAAAAAATGTAGGAACATAAATTTGGGTCATTCCGAGCATGGAGAAAACGACAAAAAAAGGGAGGGAAAGAAAAATAAGGAAAAGAGATAAGGTTAAGTGACCATTACGTAGTGGTAATACATCATATCTAATATAAAATCAGACAATTAAAACATAAACGTTCTAAGTTAATGTGATAGCTGACCCAAAAATGTAAAACAGCTAAAATGCATAGTATATTATCGCACAGCTTTATATATAAAGAGTACTGTATGCGAAAATTGCATACATACAGTGCTCAAGTAAAACGATATATACTATTTAGCAAATCTCGCCTGCTTGATTGTTTACATTATTGCAAAATGCTAACTACATAAACTATATAAC